TATTATCTAGTGAAATAAACTTTGGACAAAATGTAATTGGTTTTATATGATCAAATGAATAAAAGTGATAATGTTTTCTAAATGTTAGAAGAAGTAAATACATTCCTATTTATTAATTCTAGCCTGTCTACATCCTATAGGAAAGATAACAACTCTAAAAAACTTTGAAGGCATTGAAGTAGGCAAAGAAAGTACTTAAATAAGACCCAGAGTAATTATTTTATCCATAATGCAAGTCTTTCGAAAGGCCGTGGTTGATTGAACATATTATAACATATTAAAATAATAAGTTAGCATATTAAATAAGATTTAAAAATAATTAAAAAAAATATTTATTGACCAATGGTGAAAATGAATGTCCTCAATGATTGCCTCCGTTCTATTGTGAACGCTGAAAGGTTGTACTTGTTGTCCTAACTATTTAAGACAAGGAAGAAAGCAAGTGCTTATTAGACCCACATCCAAATTAGTTGTGAAGTTCTTATAAGTTATGCAAAGACATGGCTACATTGGTGAATTCGAAATCGTTGATGATCATAGAAGTGGCAAGATTGTTGTTGAATTATTGGGTATCCAATAATCATTAAATTCTAGGACGCATTAATAAATGTGGTGTAATCTCTCCTAGATATGATGTTACATTAGGAGAATTTGAAAGATGGGCAAACAACATTCTACCTGCTAGACAATTTGGTTGTGTCGTCCTTACAACCAATGTTGGAATCCTTACCCATGAAGAAGCCAGATAAAGACATATTGGAGGTAAAATCCTTGGTTTCTTTTATTGATATCATTATAAACATGTAGTACAATAAATATTTATGTATTTATCTAACCAACTGGATATAAATTATTTGTTCATTTATATATTATATATTATATTATAAATTTTCAATAATCTTACAAAGATTTTCATATATCTCTAATACTATAGATTAAAGATCTGAAATATATTCTCAATATTCTTCTTATTATTTCAATCTTATTTTACATCCATAAAATAGAATAACTCATAGATTTTATCAAAAATTATTAAAAATACTTTAAATAATCTTTAATTTTTTCATAATAGAATAAATTCTAATCAGTTTATTTGTTTTCAAAATGTTATAAGTTTAGACTCTTTAAATATTGAGAAATAAAATAACAATTTAGAATTATTATTTATGAAAAAAAAATGATTTCTAACAAAATAAGATTCTTTCTTAGGTAATCTTTTAATTAAAATTTTTATCTTTATTTATTTTAGTTTCAATTTTATGTTAAAATAGTATTATTAAGAAATGATAGATGAATAATTTATAAATAATATTATAAACTCAGGAATAATTAGATAATTCATAATAATTTTTTAAATTAAAGATAATATAAATAGAATTTTATTAATATACATAAAAATTAGCTTTTTATAGTAATTTAAGAAGATCTAGATATGTAATCTAAATAATTTAGCTTTATATGAAGAAACTTTTTAGATAATAATAATTTTAATGTTTGTTGGTTTTTCATTATTTTCCCTTTCTATTTTGAACTGGTGCTTGATTACTAACTGCATGTTCTTCAATAAGGGATTCACCTACATATTCATTAACTCTCTTTTTCAAATATTCATTAACTGTTGCTATCTTTTCTCTATAAATTAAAAGAGATTCCTCTAATAATTAATTTTCTTCATGTCTCTTCTCTTTTTCAGAATTGTACAATTTCTTTTTATAATTGTATTCCTCTAAAAAAGAATGTTAATTAATCATTACCTTATGTCAAACTTAAGATTCTCATGCTTTATTCTTATAATTCCTTTTTCTTAGTTAATATATCTGAAGCCAATTCCTTATCATTTTAAAGTGAGTTCAAGAATTTAGCCTTAGCATCATATTCTTATTTAAGAGATTCTTATTCAGCAAGTAAATTTGTCTTGAAATCAGCAAAATCATTGGCAGATAAGATTTCTTATTCTTCTAAACTTTTAATTGTATCTCTCAACTTTTCAATTAATTATTGAATAATTCCAACTACATCTTTTTCTACTAATGAAGCCAATTATTCTCCATTACCATGTGATCCTTAAAATAATAAATTGAAAATTACTTGTTTATGCAAATGAAGTTTATTCTTCACCTAATTTAACAAAATCTTAAACAGCTTGTTCTTCAAACAAGTTTGCATACTTACTCAATTTTTCTGCATAATCTCCAATATGACTCTTTTCTACAAAAGTACTTTATTTGCTTTGAGCATCACTTCTGACCCAATCAAGAACTGAAAGAGCATTTTTATATTCTCTAAGTGTATCAATGAAAAGAGCATTAGCTTCACATCGTTATTCAGCTAGATTTTCAAGTTTAACTTCATTTGCCTTATATCGCTTGTTATTCCAATTCAAATAATCAGTTGTTTATTGGATCTTAAGACTTAAAGTTATTTAAGAATATATAAATACTCAACAGCTTCTAAGTCTTATTAGGCTGCAGCAGCACTCTTTGAATTAACATTAACAATTCCTGAGAACTCATTGATATCCTTTAAAATGGCTGATTCAAAGCGTTAGAAGGTAAGGTCTGCCTTATCTTGAGCTTCAACATTAGCACCCTATAAATCTTCAAGCAAAGTAAGCACTGATTGAATGGCATCTTATGAACTTAAGACATTTGTTTTAGAACTAAGTAAATTCAAAAAGTCTGTATTGATTTTTTTGGGGCTGCAAAATACACTCTAACTCAAAAGGAGAATGACTAACACTCCTGAAATACTTTTCATTCTTTTTCAATAATAATAATATTTATATAAATACCGTTTTTATACATTAATATACTTCCTCATTTATGAATGCTATCCAATCTCTACATAAATAAAATTATCAATTATGAGAGTTCATTGTATATAGAAAAATTTCAACTTAAAGATAAAATGCAGATAATTAAAATTTGTATAGATTTTAAGATTTAAAATGAAAATAGAAAAATATAAATTTCTATTTCTTAAATTTATTAGAAGAGTATTTTGTAATTAAAATAGTTTATACATTTTATATTTAATCAAATATTAAATCCAAATAGAATTAAGCTTAATTAACAGGAATAAAAGAGATTAAAATAAAAATCTATAAACAATAATAAAATAACAAACACAATTTAAGATTTTCTATTATAATTAATTAGAAATAATTATAGACTTAAAAAATGAATAAAATAATTAAAAGATAGAGATATAAGAAATGAATGAAATATTGCAAAATGACATCTTAAGTTAATTTAATAATTTTGTGATAATTTATTTTGTATTATTCAAATATCTGGAAGTGGTTGATTACATCCAGACCATTTATTCATTACCTTCTTACCATCCTTAATGTCAAACCATAAATCTCCAATAATACCAATATCTCTCAAGAATCTACCTCCTGGAGTATGATAATCTTAATAAGTATCAGTATCATCAGTATCCTAGATGTAAATATAATAAGAATTACTTCACTATCAGGGAAGTTGAGAGGGGGTGGATGAGTAATTCTCCAGTGATCTTCATCTGGATATCTTTAGTAAAGAAATTCAGCCCCTAAAAAGAATAAGATAACATAATATTACAGAAATATACAAATGGCATAGTAGCCATTAAAGCCCATGGCCACATTGGTCCTCTTTTTCTGAAATGCTATGTTCTGAAGCTCTCAGTTTAGAAATCACAATCTTCAGATTCATAATCAAATTCATGATTAACATCAGCATCTTAATCTTATTAGGCTGCAGTCAAATGTTAGATTGGTTGTCCTACTTATTTGTTTTCTGGTTTTAATAGAAGTGATGGATTGTATAGATGATCTTATGGTAAGGCTTCAGATGGATTGAAATGAACAAGTTTTCCTTCAAATGGCCATACGTATGTTTTTGGATCTGGACAACCAACATGTTTAGTTGGAATAATATAGTCCGGATTGTATTTTGGATCATCTCTCCAATCATAGGGCTTACCATGAGCTTCATTATAATTGACACCTGGATAATACATATAACCAGGACCCTCTAAGATTCAATAATGAATGATTACACTCAAAATAAGTATATAAATTCTTATGATCCAAATGTTGAGTAATTGTATTATATTCAACCTTGGGTCTGCCTCTACCATGAGGTACTCCATGACCATGATCTCCATGTCCATGACCATGATCTCCATGATCTCCATGATCTCCATGATCACCATGATCTCCATGATCTCCATGATCATCATGATGTGCAAAAGGATTGGGTACTTTAGTAGAATTTGCAAATGTTTAGATTGTGACTTGTCTGAGTTGATTCTTCAATCCTCTAGTTAAATGAATCATTTAATTTTAATTATATACATTCAGAATATCTTAATTATCTGTTAGATGAATTCAAACAATAGTACGGTTTCGCATTTGTCTGAAAACTACGAAACCAAATATTATCCTAATGATTAAGAGAAAGAAAATAAGAATATTTAAATACCTACATTTATATAATACTATGAACTTAATAATACTACAACTTTGAATACAATTACATAAAAATTAACTAACACCATAAGTTAAATTCAAGAAACTGAAAATTCATTATATGAAACATTGTAGAAAACTGAGATCACAGAAGAACAAAAACAATAGATTAAAATAAGAATAATAAAATTATAAATGTTACAAGTCATAGCATAGTTTAAAACAGAAACTAAATCAAATTTATCTGCATTATAAAGAGAATTAAGAGAAATTTAAAACTATATTCTTAATGAATTGCTTCAATTTTGATTACTTCATATTATATATAAAGTTAATAAATTTTCATTTAGTAGTAAATGCATATTTTGATGATCTCAAATCAACTATTGATAATTTACTAGCACTTTAATCTCAATTATTTTCTATATATCACTTTATTACTCTCAACTAATTATTTATATTATCTCTAATATTTCTATTGTCTTAAAAATCTTGCATAATCTATTGGGAAATTATACAATAAATCGTTCTATTTATAATCTCATCAGATTTCTGAATAGCTAACATTTTGAAAATTTTAAATCTGCTTTAGGATTGATTTATTAGAGATTTCATCAGTTTCATCTATGTCTGATTAATTTTATATGTCTGATTCATATTTATTAGTAACCTTATAATATTCTTCTCTGAAATAACCTATCACCTCATCAAAAATTATTTTAAATATTTTTATCTCTAATGATTGACTACTACTTAACCATCTCTTTATAATTTACCTTTTCTTGAATTTCTCTTAAAACTTATTATTATAATTAAGATTATTGAAGGATATAAATTTTGGTTGATTCTCCTTAGCTATAAAAATAAGTTTTTCATGAAAATCGAAAGGGTATTCATAAATCATTACTATAATATCCCATATTGAATCTATCTATCTTTTTTGAAACAATTACATTGGTGCTAACTATGACATTATCTATTTTGCACCATTTTTGAATTTAACGAAAATAAAATCTTTCTAGAATCCCTTATTCAAAACATATTTCTTAATCCCTTATTAAATTTGAGCACTCTTTTAATCAAATTTTTAAATTAATAAATTCTTATTCTTTCTTTTCTTTGTAGCCATCCTTAATTCTAAATATATTCTGTTCTTCTTTTTACTAAAAACTATCCTAATTTTTATAAATTAGTTAATAAATTTCTATCTGAATAATCTTAAGACCTGTTATACAAAAGGTTCTTTTTAATAAAAGAATAAGATATCCATCACTCTTAGTGTTAAGGTCTTACAAGAATTGTTGGCTACATTATTTTAATAAAATGACTTAAAAATCCAACAGGTTCTATAATTTATGATATTAATTGCAATCCTCCATCTTTCTTCATGAATTTAACCTGAGTCTATTCATTTAATAAATATATCTATCACTAGATTGATCATAGAATTCATCATAACATAAATTCTTTTTAATTGATTGTCAATCATTTGTTTGGTGATGATATATTGAACAATCACAATTGAATATGGAATGAATATGGTAATTTTTATTAATCTTTTTTTCTAGATCAGCATAAAGAATAAGAATATGAAACATAAATTCTTAATCTGAATAAATATTATTAATCATATTAATGTAAGAAGAATATTAAGGTTATGGAGTAGATTTAGGTGGTAGATATACACTACTTGCTAAATGCCAATTATTCTCAGCTGATGTGGTACTAAATGAAGGTTAAAGAGAAACAGAAAATGTCATAGTTTTTTAGACACATGAGAGATTCTTTGGAAATACTGCTGCACATTCTTATAGATCTAATATATTAAATTCAGTAAGAGGTTTCTAAAAGCCCCATACATTTTAATATAAAGGGAAATCAATTAAAATGGAACCTGAATAATAGATAGGAGCTTTTCTTAGAAAATTATTGCGAAATTGTAATAGAACAATTGTTATTTCTTATCCTGATTTTTACACTCAATTCGATTTGATCAGGTTATGGAGAGCAATTTAAATTAGTAAAATAAAAGTGTTGGCAGCAATTCCAGAAAATATGGCAATAAGTACTTATGTTAATTATTGTTAAAATAATGTTCTACAAAAAGAAATGATGATAATTGATTTTGGTCATTCAAAATTCACAGCATTTTTATTATCATAAGAATAAGTTATATGTGAGGTTTTTGATAGAAATCTAGGAACATTCTAGATGGACAATTATTTAGCTGAATGGATTATAAATAAGGCAAAGATCACAATAGATAAATAAAGTAAATATTATTTGAGATTGTTGGATACTTGTGAAAATATTAGGAAACGTCTAAGTGCAAATAAGGACACTCATATTGATATTGAACAACTTATTCCAGATGTAGATTTTACATATAATTTAACAAGGTACATAATATATATTATTATTATTAAAGGGAATAATATGAGACAATAATATAACCAGTTTTAGAATCAATTTAAAATTTACTATTTAATCTCTATCATTAGACATAAAATTATAAATTTGATTTAATAGTTACTTTAGGAGGAGGTTCTAGAATTCCAATTATATAATAATGCATTAAAACTATTTTTGAAGGCAAATAAATTTAAAGTACAATACATGCAACTGAAGCTATATGTCAAGGATGTGCAGTTTCTAATACATTAATTACTTAAAGAAAGGAATAATTAAAAAAATAATAATCCACTCATCATTATTTAAATTTATATGAACATTATCCTATTTTTATAGGAATCAAAACTTAAGATTAGAATAATAATTAAACGCATTAAATCAATTTAAGAGAGTATTTTGTCCTTAATGGTGAATGTCAAAAATATAGTCATTGCTTAACAAAATAATTGGACTAATTTAAATCTTATGAAATATCTCTATTTTATGATCCTCCACCTATTGGATTTTAATCATTGATTAAAACTTATTATATTACTAATACAAAAATAATTATGTTTTATTATGATGATTATGGAGTGGTTTAAATGACTGCAGATAATTAAATAGCCTTACCAATATAAGATTAGAGAATTGGACTTATAGAAATGATTGAAATTGAAGATCAATTAGAATTAGATGATAGTAATGTTTAACTAGTAATACTTATATATTATTATTAGACTCACGATCTTAGATATTAATGTGAAAGAAGAATAAATGAAGTTAAACAATAATATAAAAATATTAATCTAAGTGTTCCATAATTAATGAAAGTAGGTGAATTAATTGAAGAGTCTGAACAAAGAGTTTTGGATTAGAGTTTAACATATTAGGATGTTTAAAATTTAATGAATGAGTTTGAAATATAATATAAAAATATTATCGCTTGATATTAATATATTAAATTAAGACTCAACATCTTAAAAGATTGTTGATTTAAAGGATAATTCTTGGAACATATATTATTCTATATTTAGACATATTTTAAATCCAAATATTTTTATGTTTATCAATTCAGATATCAATTTTATTTTTTATTCTAATAAAGAAGAAATTTCAATAATGAATTATAATAATAAAGTATTAGAACTGGAATGTAATATTTATAGATATTAAAGTGGAAATGAAATTCAAAATTGTAGAATAAAAGGAGATAGAATCAATACTAATTGAATCAAATTAGATTATTAAGAAACTGAGTCTAAAATGAAATAAGTAGTACTAATAAGTAAAGAAGTAGAGTTAGAGGATTATAATAAAAATAATTGAATTACTTATGAATTTTATATATAAAATTTTATATGGCTTATTTTGGAAATAATCAATAGCGTGGAGAATTATAAGAGTTGTATGCTGATTTGAATGATTTGAATTTTGAGAAAAAGAAAGAAGTATTACATTAATTAATGTGATATTAAGGCTATTAAGAAAGTTATTGCTTATATGACAGTAGGAAAAGATGTGTCACAATTATTTTAATCAGTTATTAAGTGTCTTGAATTTTAAGATATAGAAATGAAAAAGTTGGTAATAATATTGGATAATATTTAATAGATTTACTTATACATTGTTAATTATTCTCGTTAAAAACCTGATGATGCCATTATGGTGATTCAAAATTTTAGGAAAGATGTACGTAAATCAGAAAATCCATTGGTAAGAGCATTAGCTATAAGAACATTTGGTTGTTTAAGAGTTCCAAAATTGAATGAGTATTTGATTGAACCACTTAAAGATTGTGTTTAAGATGATGATCCTTATGTGCGCAAAACTGCTGTTTTATGTGTTCCTAAAGTAATTTCCTTTCATTTTTATTAGGTATTTGAAGTATCACCTGAATTATGTCCAGCCTTATTAGAATAATTATAGAAATTATTAGAAAAGGAATCAAATGCATTGGTTTTAGCAAATTTAATTTAGTCCATGAGAGAAATTGAAGTTGTAAAAGGTAAACAATTAATTGTACTGAATCCTAAAATTATACAAAAATTGTTATTAGCTATTGATGAATGTATGGAATGGGGATAGATATTCATTCTTGATTATTTGGCTACTTATGATCCTGTAGATTCTAAATAAGCTGAAATTATAATTGAAAGAACATTGCCTAGATTGAGTCATATCAATCCTACTGTTACATTTTGTGCTGTTAAACTAATACTTAAATATTTAGATTATCTTAATAATGGAGATTTAGTCAAAAATCTTTGTAAAAAGATATCTCCTTCACTTATATCTTTGCTTTCTTGGAATCAACCTGAAATTTAATATACCATTCTTAGAAATATCTCATTAATATTACAAAAATTTCCTATTCTTTTTGAAAATGAAGTCAAAGTATTTTTTTGTTCATTTAATGAACCATATTATATTAAATATGAAAAATTAGATATTATGGTAAGAATTTGTGATTCTAAAAATTTTCATTAAGTTTTAAATGAATTAATGATATATATTAATGAAGCAGATCCTCATTTTGTAAGAAAAACAATTAAATCTATTGGTAAAATTGCTGTTATGTATGATAAAGCACTTGCTGAGTAATAATAATTTAAATAGTTAGAGCTGTTTCAATCTTAGTAGAATTTGCTAAAAATGTTTAATAAGCCAATGAAGCTGTCTAAGAATTATTCATTCAAATGTAAATTATCTATAGAAAAAATCGAAATTTATATAAAACTAATGATAGTCTTAAAATATTATTCAGTATTATTGACTATGCTAATGAACCAGAAGCAAAAGTATTATTATATTTTCTAATCTATATTAGAGTGCTTGTGCTTGGATTATTGGAGAGTTTGCAGAATTCATTCCTAAATCAGTTGAAAAGATGGGGGAATATGTTGATAATTTTATATTGGAAGATAGATTAGTTTAACTTTAAATATTAACATCAGGAGTTAAACTTTATATTAAATATCCTTCATTATGTTCAGCATTAATTTAATAACTTATAAATTCTGCAAAAGATTCTTTTAATCCTGATGTTAGAGATAGAACATACATTTATTGGAGATTATTGTCTACTGATCCAGAAATTGTGAAGAACTTAATTTGTTATGTTGCTGTAGGATCTTCTCAATTTTAAAAAGACATACGTTTATGGGAAACTAAAGATTTGATTACTGCTTTAGAAAATATGGGTAGTATTAGTAATCTATTTCATAAGTTACCAAATTAACTATATAAAAATATTAAAGTTAGGAATAAGTAATAATAATTATTTATATTTAAGTAATCAACAAGAAGTAAAAATATATAAGGCAGATGAGAAATCAGAGGCACCTTCAAAAGAATAAGAAATAAAAAAAGATGATTAAATTCAATAATAATAATAATAATAATAACTTAAATAAGATTTTGATCTATTAAATTTTGAAGAACCTGTATCTAATAATAATAATAATAATAATAATAATAATAATAATAATAATAATAATAATAATAATAATAATAATAATAATAAAATAGATGTGTATGATTTAATATGAATATCAAAAAATATTATATATATAATAATATATATTTTTTTATAGAAACAATGTTTATATTTAAATAAACAATCCTATAAATCTTAATATCTTATCATAGAATTAACTTCTCATAATTAAGGAATATTGCAATTTTTGAGTTTACTTAAGAGTTTTTATTTTAGACTTAAGACTTCCTAGAAATATGGATTCTTGAGAAATTGTTCATTAATTAACAAGTGAATTTAAGTTAATAAGGAATATTTTATTTTGATTGGTAATGATTTTATTATTATTTATACTTAAATTTAGAAAACATTAATTTAATTAATTATATATGTCTTGCCAACGAATCACAGTTACAAAAAGGGGAGTTGAATTATAAGAGTAATTAAAAGAGGTTTTAAAGAAGAACTAAAAGATTCTGAAATTAGAACAATAAAGAGGTATATTAATTTAATAATAATA